CATCTTCCTATATGTTTCCTTGAACTAATTATTATGCACGAATGTATATGTTTCATATAATGTATATTTTTTGCCTGCTAAAAAACCCTATGAATAATCTCTGACGGATTCATCGTGGTCGTAGGATGGCCTTTCGAGGGCGTATCAACAAAAATGAGCGATAATAACATTGTTGCTTGTCATTACCAACTCTTTGAATGTGATGCGAAAACTACCTCAACCGCCTGGCGTGAGATAATATAAGAGGTTATGTTTTCATTACATCGGTCACAAAACAGGACAAATTATGAAAAAAAATAGTGGAAGGCAGATTAGCTCCAACCAGTTGGATTAGGCTTTCAGGTTGTACTTTTAAAATTTTGCCTCCGAAATTACAGCAGCTTCATCAAATTCACGTTTACTAAGAGCGCGCCTAGTAGATAGTCCCCAAACTTTGGACTTACTTCATGTTCCTTTCTTCATGGTACCCATACAAACCCTTCCGAGCTGCAGGAACATGGTATAAATTCAGAATCAAAAGAATTCTACGCCCCTACTCATGAGCCAGCGTTAGGGAAGTACTTGGGTAGTAGTTCAATGCAAGCTGTATTTGTGACTCAGAAATCTCAATCGGAGCTTATGAGCATCCTAAAGCAGGCAATTTGGCGAGATTCCTCAAATCACTAGTCCGAGAATGTGCCAATTACCTGATCCAATGCTGAAAATGATCGAACTTCGGATAAGGTGAGTTCATCTAGATTGACATGACAACAAGACAAAATTGCGTACTTCTTGTGTTCATAGTTTGTTTGTCTCAAAACAATCAGTGGCTCATGAGGACATAAACATCAAGATGGTGTAGTCTCTATTTAATTTGTAGTTTACTTTTATAGCATAAGAATAGTATTATCGGAAATTCTGGCAAATCGAGAGGGGTGAAAAAGTAAAGCAGCGGATGTGATAACGCCTAAGCCCTCTTAAAAAGGTCAAAATAAACAGTTTAGAAGTTTGTGATAGAGAGGAAGTGAGATATTGGGATAGGGGTTAGGTGTATCTACGAGGAGAGGAGTGATAACCCAATTATTTAACAAAAAGTTGGTCTATGGCTAAAATCCAACTATGCCAGAAATATTGAGGACCCTTTTATTTCATAATTGTTGAGCTTATTACAACTTCGAGTAAAAGTTTTTTGTGAAGAGATTCGAAGGTCGATTCCACCACTCTAAGCGATCACTGTTGGCTTCGAACATCTGTGAACACATGCAGGCATATAAAGATACACAGATAAACACACTTGCATGCATTGAGGTTGATATATGACTGGAACTAACCAAATCACCTTATACTTCGTCATAGAGCCTAAATATAGAGTACATATACAGCATTTTAGGGATGAGCTGGTGAGTTTTCTTGAATATGGTTGTAAGGATGTACCCTGCTCTGATTATATCCGTTATACGAAAGGACGAAAACAGCATGTTTTAACCTGAATCGAAGAATGTTGGCCCGAAAACAGCGTCAACAAGAATGTTCCAGCAAAGCCAATCGACAGTTGGTCAAGAGAAATTCGCCGTCCTCTTCTGGTGGGATCGACCTTAAAATCTCTCCACCAAACACTTTCAGTCCAAATGGAAGTAAGCTCAACAATTAAAATTCAATTGTCTCCTACGCGTAGGAGCATCGTGTTAAGAATAGCAGTTCTTAGTTTCCATTGACCCTCGTACTCAATTTTATTTAGTAGTACTTCCAAAAAAGTGTATTCTTATCCAGGCTGGACGGCAGTTTTGGGTTTGCATAGGCCTCATCAGTATCCCAACAGGACTCGGACTAGGGTAGTGCCACGTACAATCTCGATACATTACCATCCCTGGGGTTGCTGCTGAGACCTGGAAGAGTTATAGACTACAGTCTAGCCTGGATGAGAACAGCTTTGGAGAAATACGGCTAAGTGAAAGCTAATGAGATCATTAAGGCTTACTATTATGCCTGTGGGGAAATACAATCCGAGACTGGAAATTTGTGGAAACTAGTGTAGCGGACATTGCACATGATGCTTTGACAACACGACCGAGTAGTGAAAAAGAGGTTGGACCACACAGCGAAAGGAGTTCTATTAATAAAATGGAGGCCAAACTATGTTGGTCTTCATGTCTGCGATTCAAATAATGTGTATTTACAAGAACTTACCACCAAGTGCTGGAAGAGCCAATGTTTCATAATCTGCGTGGCCCGTTTCGGCAGGACACCTCGTTTCTGCTTACCGCCTAGGCAGCCAGTGTTCATGTTGTCAAGACGAGCGCTCAGCGCTGCATGCATTGCTGCTCCTGCGGCGGCTGCAGCTGCCGCCGCCATTCCAGCCTGATAGCCGGCCGAGTGAAGATGTGATGAGCCCGGAGTTGATGGTCCTGAAGACGATGCCCGAGGAAGAGTCAGGCTCGACGGGCTGCCTGGGTAACCGTGAATGGATGGAACGGGTGTAGGATAGGCCTCGCTGAGAGAAGCAGGCTGACCCACCAGTTCGTTTAGGCCAAAACCTGATTGACTGGCATCCAAACACGGGACGCCCGAAGGCTCCCTTGGGTCACGTTTTTCATCCAGACTGAGTACCAGCTGTTGTTGTTGTTGATGATGATGGAAGTGTTGTTGTGGATGATGATTGTGTAAGTGCTGTGAATGTGGGTGGTGATTCGAATTGAGTAGAGGCGGAGGAGGGGGAGGAGGACCGTGATGCATAGAGGCCTGTGCATGAGGCATCGGTAGGCCAGAGTAGTTGTGGGCCTCGGGAAATCCTGGAATCTGCAAGTAATCCGTTGGGATTCCGGAGTGTCCTACTCCAGAATACCCGAGGCTTGGATAGGCATAGCCAGACGGAGAGTAGCCGGCATCAGGTGTGCTCAAGCCTTCACCAGCTGAAGCAAGAAGACCAGTTCCACAGCCTACGAGGTCGTCGTCCCGTCCGGTCAGATAGCCATGCACAGAGGAGGGCATCTGGGTACACCCAAGTGAACCATTAATGCATATTGTAAACGTGAAGAAAGCAATAAAAAGTTAAGGTTCAAATGGTAAGGCAACCATAATGGTATTGGTGGACGAAATGACAGTCATTACATCGGTCCAGAGTGGGTTATAAGAGTATTTTTAGAGTTAAATATGGTAATGCTGATGAGGCCGTGGCGTTTTGTTGGGATGAGACATGGGGGAAAGTGTATGATAAATGGAGCTCCTCTTTAGACTATTTTTCTGTCCATGAGGCTGAGGTTAGGGTAGATTCCTTCCATGACGAAATAGGAATAGGGTAAAAAAATAAACTGACAACCAAATGTGAAGTTGAGGCTTTCACTGGGTTTGAAGTTAAGATTTCCGTTAATTGTAGATTTGAGAAGAGTCCGGAGGTGCATATTGGGCTTTTCTAGGTGAATTTTATAGAATTTATTGGTTTATAATGGTGCAACCATCTATGTAAAATGTTTCGTCATTTTGAAAAATTCTCGATTTATAAATGTTAGATCCAAAAACATTCCCAGTCACTCGCTTCCTTTAGGGCGACCAGTTCAGCATCCTTTGATAGGGCTAATTTACTCACTTCACCATGCCAAAAAGAATCACTGGCTTCTATTAGCACTCTTCGTGAGTGTCTTTGGCAAGCTCAATCTTGATGAACTATACCAGCTTGCAAGATTTCCACTCCTTTCTTTTGCTAATGTTAAAATCCTAAAAGTTGTATGCTTTACTTGCATTTATACTTGCCTTTGACAAGATAATTTAAGTTAAAAAATATGAATAGAAATTGGGTTTCGAAGACACTCTATGTATTGAGATAACTGGTAAATTCAATTCCATTTCTAAGCTGCATAATATAATATATAGATCAAATTATCCTTAATAATCTTGTAATTTCATTTACAGAATGAAAGGATATATAGTGTAAAATATTTGGAGCCTCTTTCTTTAGGCAGTTGTAATAAATTCATCTGTGCAAGCATCTAATTATTTATTTTTTGTAATAACTGAATATTCCTTTATTGAAC